AGGAAGAGGGAGAGAGGGAGGAGGGAAAGTGGAGAGAAGGAGAGAGATGGAGAGGGAGGGAGAGAGGGAAAGTGGATAGAGGGAGAGGAGAGAGAGAGAAAGAAGAGAGAGGGGGAGGGAAGTGGCGAGAGAAGGAGAGGAGAGGGAGAGGGAGAGAAGAGAGAGAGAGAGAGAAGAGAAAGAAAGAGAAAGAGACAGACAGACAGACATACAGATCCAGAGACAGACAAACAGCCAAACACACACAACGAAAGAACACACAGAAAAAAACACCACGAGAATGTAATACCAGCCCATACCATCCCACCCCATAGCCATGCATTAGTTATCAGCCTCCCCCCTCCTCTTTTCCATCTTCTAAAAAACATAATGAGGCAGAATAATTTATAAGCCCCTAAATGAAGTTTACCCGAATGCCGATCCGGCGATGAATAAACCTGGGTCTGATTAATCTAGGAGGTTCGATGGCGCTTCTATCTCTCCCTCTCCTTCTCTCTCTCCCTTTTCCTTTATCTTCCTCTTTTCCTTCTTTTCCCCTTTTCCTTTTCCTCTTTCTCCTCTTTTTACTCCTTCCCCTCTCTTCTCTTCCCTTTTTCCCATTTATTTCCTTTTCCTTCCTTTCTTTCTCTACCCTTTCCCCCTCACTCTCTTTCTTTTCACCCTTCTTCCCTTTCTCCTTTTCCTCCTCCTTCGCCCCTTCCCTCCCCGTTTCACCTCTTCCATTTTCTCTCTTTTCACCTCATTCCCCTCCCCCTCTCTCCTATCTCCCTTCCCCTTTCCCCTCTCCTCTCTCCCCTCACCCCCTTTCCCCACCTCCCTCTTCCACCTCTCTCCTCCCCCCTACCCACTTCCCCTCCCCCTCTTCCACCTCTCCCTCTCTCCCCCTCCCCCTCCTCCCTCCTCCCCTCTCCCTCCTTCCTCCCCCCAAAAAAAAAAGAATTAACGTCAGGAAATGTAAACAGAATAATTAACCAAGCAAAAGCAACGAGACCTCAGATAACCAATGTTGCAAACCCAATTACGGATTTGCAACCTGCCAAGTGTGTGTCTCCGGGAGTGTCTTGACCTTACTTGACCTTCCGTGGTGGGGCGGATGGAGGGGGAGGGGGGGGGCGTGGTGGATGGATCTCTCTGGAGTCTTTCTTACCTGGAACGAAAAGAAAAGAAAGTTAATAATGATGATGATTAAAAGCCATGATAATATATATATATATATATATATATAATAATTATATATATATATGTGTGTGTGTGTGTGTGTGTGTGTGTGTGTGTGTGTGTGTGTGTTTGTGTGTGTGTGTGTGTGTGTATGTGTGTGTGTATGTGTGTGTGTGTTTCGGAATTTTAACCTAACTTTAGAGAGTGAATATATATGGAAATTCGTTTAAATATAAAGGATTGATTAAACAATAAAAAATTCAAATTTCAACTTTCAAAACTCAAAAAATTAGCTGTTGCATCATAATCTCAACTCATCTAATCTTAGGTAGTGAACAAATGTGAAAATTAATCCTAAAAAAGGTCAATAAAAAATATTTTAGTCTATCCAACTTATCACACGTGAAAGCTATTAAAAATATTGATAACAGATTATTTCTCGAAAAAAATCCAATATACACCCTTCCCAAACTTTAAAGCAACGAAAAAAACGAAAACGGAAAATAAACAACTAACCAACGTAAAATAAAGATAATAATGATAACGATAACACCAATAACAATAATAACAAAAATAATAATGATAGACAGGTACACAAACAAATAAAGATAATAATGATAAACATAACAAAAGTAATAATGACAGATAAACAAACAAACAAACAAATAAACAGATAATACAAAAAAAAATGATATGCAGACGAAGCCGAAAGAATCAGCTGATCGGAGATTCAAAATGGCGCGCGTTTTGGCGGGAAGCGAGACAACCCGAATAATTATATTTCTCGGCGCGGAAACCGATTGGGCCGAATAATCAAATGCCGGCAACTTTGTAATGACAATATCGGTATTTTGTGGATTATCCGGCGCTAATGATTCGGCCGTGATATTGCTATTTATCATGAAACGAACATAGAAGAGAAATATTGCCGGTTCTAAAATGCAGAGGCTCTTACGGTCATGGATGTGCGTGTTTTTGAGTGTGTGTTGTGTGAGTGTTGTGTGTGTGTGTGTGTTGTGTGTGTGTGTGTGTGTGTGTGTGTGTGTGTGTGTGTGTGTGTGTGTGTGTGTGTGTGTGTGTGTGTGTGTGTGTGTGTGTGTGTGTTGTGCGTGTTGTGTCGTGTTGTGCGTGTATACAAACTTCCACACATCCATACCAAAAACAAACAAAAACAAAAACAAAAAAACCACAAGACCCCCCTAACCCCACCCCCCCCCCAAAAAAAAAACATTAAAAAAAGGGTCAAAAATAAAAAATAAAAAAAAAATCGATCCCATATCGACTCCATCCCCGGGCCATAACCCTCGGGCCATAAAACCCGCGTGTGTCTCTCCCGCCATGA